GTGCCTCACTAGTAGTAACAAGAAGCTACTAGGAACAAGTGCCACGCTAGTAGTAACAAGTGCCTCACTAGTAGTAACAAGAAAGCCATTTAATTTACTGTTAATTTTTGATTCTAATAGCTTCTTTGTTACTACTAGTAAGGCACTTGTTACTACTAGCGTGGCACTTGTTACTAGTAGTAACAAGAAGCGAACGTAGAAACCTTGACACGGAAACCACCAAGAGGTCACCGAGGTCACGGACCCCCCGCATGTGCACACAGCTTTGCAGGACCAACAGGACCGAGACTTTACGTTGCAAGACTTCAAGGACCAATTTTCCAACAAGCAAAACTCGCAAAAAAAGAAAAGGAAAAGCAAGAAAACCTTTTGTCTTTTGAAGATGTGTTTCTTTGCTGTTTTGAGTAACATGTATCCTGTTGGTGTATTCAAGGACGGAATTTCCAACATCTTGATCTCCACCTCTGTGGCCGCCCGAGGCAGAAATCGACCGTTTAGCCCGGGGGGTAAGCCGAAGAGGTAGGTTAGCTAGGGAGCTAGCGATGCCCTTGAGCCGTTCTTGTTGAGTAGTAGTACGGCCAGGAGCCCCTAGTAGCGTCCTCCTGGTAGTAGGGCCAGGAGCCCCTAGTAGCTTCATGTAGATAGCTAGGTAGCTACTAGCTGCAAGTAAGCTACTACCGACAGGGCGCAGGATAGCTCGCACTTCTTCAAGCAAGCTCCCCCCGCGGCCCTAACTTCCTTGAAGAAGCGCTGGCACTAATGATTTGGGTCCTAGATTTAGGGAAACTTAACTAGTAGCTTCTTGCTAGTAGTAGCAAAAGGAATCTGATAGGAATGGCCTCCACCCTAATAGCGATGGCCTCCAACCTAGAAGCTCCCCTCCTGCTAATTAACAAGAGTTTGAGAAAGGTAAATACCCCAAATATCGCGAAGAACAGAATGCTTGCAAACTGCAGGAGCTCAACCAATCCCATTGTTTTGGATGTCTAGCTTGACAAACACCCTGGAAATCAACTTATTGAGCAGACCATCTCAAACATGTCCAGGGAGGAGGGTGTGGTACGGCCAGATTGGTGGAGGTCATTTCAATGTCGGCCGCATGTGATTGATGGCCCCCTGCAAGATTGGCAGATGTTTCATTGCAGGTGGTGCAAGAACACAAAGATGCAAACAGAACTCAAAAAGAAGGATACAGTGAGTGGTTTCAGAGTGCACAAGGCCCAAGAGGCAAAGAAACGATCCCAGATAGCAAGCAAATAGTTAAGGCTCAGACCCGCCCTCAAAAGCAAAGAAAAGAAAAGGGGCCCCTAGTAGCGTCCTTGCTCCTAGTAGTGTCCGAGTCCAGTTCCGCAAGGCATTGACGTGAAAAACGTGATCTTGGTCGTGAACTTCAAGGCGATGGTCGTGGATGGCTGATGGACCTCCACCAAGACTGGGAAGGAACACCACCCACAACAACATCAATGAACGTTGTTCTCTTCCTTTGTCTCCGGTGGTGGAGCAAGTCTCCCTTCAACAGGAGAACATACTCCAGAGCAGATCGTTCACTTCATGTTCAGCATACTCAATGATTATTTGACCCCAGCCATGTGGGTGCGCACGACCTCAGAGGTTTACTGTGCCGTTTTAGAGCGTTTTGCCTGGAGCTTTTTGTATGAAAATGGGCCACAGACATCCATGTGAAGCTGTCAACAGGCGATGGCCTCCAACCTGCCAGCGATAGCCCCCAACCTAATAGCGATGGCCTCCAACCTAATAGCCATGGCCTCCACCCTAATAGCGATGACCTCCAACCTACTAGCGATGGCCTCCACCCTTATAGCAATGGCCTCCAACCTA